AGCATGTATTGCCAATAATGGTTGGCCAACTAGATATTAATATTTTGTTAAAAAAAAACGATAATAAACTATTTTTTAAAACTGCACAAATTTATTTACTATTTTTTCAAAACCGAGCAAACTTATTTCCAGGTAGTGTATGTCGCAACATCGAAATTTAAATCTCTTTGGTGTCGCCATAGTAGCTACATTAGAGCAGTGGCCATGTCGACAGTAAATGTGCATGCAGCTATTCCTCATGCAATGTAAGTGAAAAATTGTTGGTTCACTTCTTTTCTAATTTATAATAATTGTTTTTAACTCACCCTTATTTTTTTATATCAGTTTTGGAATAATAATCTTTACGGTTACATTGCATTAGGTTTATTGGTGATTTGGGTTGGCTAATGTCGATCAGCAGCTACTGGATTTAAAACATTTACGTTTTTATTTGGGGTTATCGTACTTGTTGCTGCATGGTAAATTTATTTTGAATTATATCGAGTTACTTCGTCATACATTTACATTTTGGATTCTTATTTATTTGGTTTGTATAGGACGCAAATATTCTTGGGATTGATTAAATATGGGGCGGACAAAGCATATATTTGGACCTAAAGGTTGGAATCGGCCAAAAATTCTTTAACCCAGTTAATAAACGGTTAAAATATTTGTTAACCGGTTAATTAACCAGTTGATAATTAACCGGTTCCAACCTTTATTTGGACCTTTTTAGCATGGTTATAAAGAAAGATAACTTTATGTCGTTTTTAAATTTTTACCAACCATATTTATGATTATTTTTTTTTAAAACAAAAAAAAAAATTCGCGTTTTGAAGTTTTAATTGGATTTGTGATAACGCAAGCGAATTTTTATTATAAGATTAAAAATATGTAATTCTTAGACTAACCGATGATTTATCGGAACGTATCCGTGCATGTATTCCTCATATATTTTATGAACATATGCATGGAGCGTATGTATAATATTTAATGGAATTTTTTTTTTATAAATTATTAACTAATTTAATGTATTTTAATATAGGAATTTAATCAAAGGGTTATGACAGGAGCTAACCTGTTATAGCGGAAGGATTAGTATTTGATATCCAATACATCAAATGGACAAAAGATCTTACAGCGTGTCATTGCGACAGATATACCCAACGACTTCTTTTTCGATCCATCAGTTGTAACAGTAATTTATCAGAACTTTAGTAAGCATCATGGAATCAATCTCATACACCGACAAGCATAATCAGGTGCTAACGAATAAGTGAGAATAATAATTCAACAAAATATATTCATTGGTCATAGGGTTTCCGTTTGAAATACAAATTGCATTTCAAATATTTGAAAGTTTTTTAAAAATAATTTCAAATGAATATCGAAATGATTTTGGATATCGAAAGTCATTTCGGATTATCGAATTGATTTCGAATACTCGAAAATCAATTCGGATACCAAATCATTTCGGATATTCGATATTGAATATACTTTTTTTTCATTCGCATTTTCCTCTTTTAGTTTTTTGGTTTTTTTCGATATTTTAAATTTTTCGATTAGGTAAGCTTTAGTTTTATTTTTTTACATTCTTTTTTTTATTTTTTTTATTTCATTTATTTTAAAATAAATAATCGATCGATAAGGTCGATCGAAATGATTGATAATCGAAATGATATCCGAATTGATTTTCGATATTCGAGTCGATCGAAATGAAATGATATTCCGAATTGATTTTCGATATTCGGGTCGATCGAAATGATTGATAATCGAAATGATATCCGAATTGATTTTCGATATCCGATATCCGAAATGAATTTTAATCATACAAACAAATATTCGAATTTTCTATTTTCAAACGGAAACCCTAATTCAAAATAAATAAATTAAATTTCTAATACTAATTATTTAATATTAATAATTAATAATATACTATATTACATAATTTGATTTGTTATATATTTTTTATATAAATTTATAATGTGATGTTTATTATTTAAATTATATAATCAAAATAGAATGATTTTGTTTTTTAATTTTTTTATTATTTTTTTTTATAAATTTTATATTATAATACACTCTCTTATATTTTTTTAATATTTACTTATTTTATAACTTTACTATCATACAAATATAAATAATAATATTTCAGATATTCTTGATAATTATTAACAATCAAATAATGAAAATAATAGGTTTATTTCTTTAGTAACAGATGATATCAAAGTTGATGCTTTTTTCTTTACATAGAAAGATATAAAAATTAAACTTAATTAATATGTAAAATTTGTAGACTTTTCTTCAAGAAGAAAATATATTGAAGTTGATAAAGATGATAAAGTTATGTGACATAGAACTTATTAATATATTTTTCTGATAAATTAGTTTTTAATCAAATTATTTATATAATTCATTAACAGAACAAACTATCTAAAAAAAATTATGTATCTATAGCATATAAATCTTATTAAATCTAAATTATTAATAGAAATAGATATTACAAGTATTATTAATTAATATAATCACATTATAATAGCTGACATAAATTTGTATATTTCTAAGTATTGAAAAATATAATAGAAAAATCAAATTCTATGTTACTAAAGGAAATATAAAAATAAAACAAATCTATCCATTATTAGTTGCAAATTTTTCTGATCAGTATATTCATAAAAGAGATCTTTATAATATAATTCAAAATTTTAAATTATCACTTACTAACTAATATGAAAATGCACAAAATATT